CTGTGGGTTTGCAGGGGGTATTTACAGCTGCAGCAACACTCACACCTCCTTCCCCTTCCCTGGCAGATGCCCCCACTGCAGTGCCCTGCAATGGAACCACCACCACTCCACACACACACACTTTTTCACATATCACAACCTGATTTTTCAAAGGTAGTTACAGTGACATAAGCCTTAGAGCCAAGTTCACTCATGTTTTCTGTTGCCCAGCTTATCAGATCCAACTTTTGTTTGCTCAGTCAGATCTTCCTTGGTGGACAAACTCTTCTAGACAAACCAAACTGCTCGATCAACTTCTCCAGCTGGAGTTTGAGGTCTCATCCCACAGCTTTTGTGGAAGCACAGAGACACTGGAATGCTCCTGGGGAAGCTGATGGACACCCACAGGGTGAACCCCTGCCCACAGCACAGTGCCTTGCTGCCAGAGCTGGTGCAGACTGGGCCTTTGACCTGAGTCCCACCTTCCTCGAGCCATGGTGAAGAAATGTTGCAGAGCAGGACACTTCAGGGCAGTGCAGCCAGGGGTTGAGCTCAGGCCTCACAGTGCTCTCCAGGATCCTCCCCAGGCTCTGCTCTGCTCCCGTGCACACACACCAGGATCACGGGCACCACCACATCCTGCCTGTGCAGGCTGTGGTCTTAACTCCAGAAGTCATGGGCATAAAACCTTGGTCTTACCTTTCATCACTGAGCACTAGGGAAAGAAGAAAGATCCCTTCCCCAGACTTGAGTATTTTCTTCATCCCCTTGCAACATTCATTGGAGGGATGTATCAGCTGCATTCCCAACATCTAGTATTAATTGTGCAAGTGCCACAGACACTGGTGTGCAGTAGCTGATGTAGCTGAAGGGATGAATCCCTCTGCCCAGGAAGGCAGTTCCTCTGGGCAGGTGCAACAAGCCCTGCTTGCAGAAGGGCCCAGTCAGAACTGCCAGGGTGCTCCTGGAAGAGGCTTCACATGTGCCAAAGACTCATCTCTAAACACAAGCCTGGGAACCAGCACCACGAGGTGATCCTGAGCTACACAAGACTGCAAGGACAGCCCTAGAAAACAAGCTCCAAGCTTCACCTGCTCGTGCTCCACAAAGACAAGTTGCCAAAAGCCTGTTGTAGGCAAGAGGGGCAGCTCAGGCTCCAGTGGGGCAGACCAGACACAACAGCCTCCCAGCTTTGTGGCATGGAGCCTGCCACAGCACCTGCATCTTCACCAGCAAGGTAGAGGCAGAACAACAAGGCTCTGGAACAGGAAAGACCACACCAGCTTCAGGGCTGCAGGGATGTCAGCTTGGTCCACTGCTTCCTCTCGCTGGCAGCTCCACGGTCCAGGGAAGCTCCCTGGTGAGCTGGCAGGTGCTGTGCACAGGGAGCAGGACACTCTGTCTTGGCAGCCACTGGTGAGTCCCAAGCAGGTCATGACAATGCCATAATGAATGGTTTGTCCTACCTGGACCAGACACAGGGCCTGGCTGAGCTTGGACTGTCAGCCCTTGACAGGACCAGCATGGGAAACCCCCCACCCAGAAGGTCTCCATCAAACAGCACTTTGGTTTGTGCAACACACTCAAAGTACAGACAAGAAAATTCCCTGGATCTACAAAGCCCAATGTTCAACGATGATCACAAAGGTCTTTCCAGCCCAAATGATTCAGTGATTCTAAGCTTCCCTCCTGGGCTGGACTCACGTTTCAGTGTGCCCAGAGGCCCCTGTCTCCTGCTTCATGACAAAACCAACCAGGGCATTATCAGCATGAGCCACTATCTGATCTCAGCTACGAAAACCCTGCTACAAATCCAGCAGCATTTCTGGAACAGTAGCTACAATGTGTTGTTATTAATCCAATTAAGCAGTGCCTGTGTTCCAAGGGTGCCCACCCAGAGCTCCACACACGTTCATGCCACCAGTCGCTCCCAGCAACCGCCTGCAGTTACACTCCTTGCTGTTGAGGTTATTTCCACAATAGTAATTAAATCCTCATTAACGATGTTCAATTACAAAAGAAATAAAATATAATCACCTACACGGGGAATCTCAGCTCCCGTTCAGGGAGCTCAAGGACTTTCTGTAAGGAAGAAACCACCGAGAAGCTGCTGCTTCACTCTGGAGCTCATAGAGAGGCTTCTCCAACAGGGATGTTCACAACCACTTGCAGCCTCGGGCCCAACCACCAAGGACAACCCAGGCATGGAAACACCACGTGCCTGGTGGCCACAAGAACAAAGCTGTCCATCACTGGGCACTGGATGGATTTCCCCAGCTTCATTTCTTGAATGTTGTTCCTTCCCCCTCCACCCCAAGCACTCCTTTGCCTGACATGAAGGTTCTCTGAAGGGAACCTGGTGTGAATTCTTTTCAATTTTGCTCCTGCCTAAAGAGCAGACGTTCAAACACAATTACCCAGAGCCAACAAATCTCTCCAACAGCACCTAACCCAGGTGAGCACCATATCTTCTCGCCACACTGGCTTTTCACAGCCCAAGGAACATGTCTCACTGCTGTCTAGTAAATGTTTTTGTAACTTCATGATACAAGTGCCAGAGGCCCTTAGTGACAATTGCAGGGCCCCTAGTGGCCCACGTGCCAGTCTCCAAGCCCAGTGGGCATTGCAGAATGGGCAGCAGATGGTTCTTGGCTGCTCTCAGCCTCACAGGAGATCCCTTTTGCCCAGCCTTCTCCAGCACTTACCGCCTCCACCCCTTCAAATTTCCCTGCTGGCAAACTAACTCTGTTGTTCTGACAGTGAAATCATCAGGGCCATGGGCCATGGTGATATTTCAAGAAGAAAAAAGGCACCCATAAATCCTTTCTCACTCTGGAAGTCAACTGGGTTTCTCATCTTGAAGGCACCAACACATCAAATCTCCAGCCGCTCCCAATCACCCACCCCCAGTGCTCCTCTGAACTTTCCCCAAATCTCTCCCACATGAATCAATCTGAAGGCAAAGTTGGCAAAGCCTTCCAGCCTCCACCAACTTATTCCACCACTGGGTCATCAGGTCCCACCACCGTGTTGGTCTCTAGGTGTGTCAAAAGAGCAGCTCCCATTATGTTCACTGGGAGAGGAGCTGCTGGAGTGACCACCCATGCTTTGTTGGGGTGAGGGCATCACCTGTAAGGCTGCCCAGACTCTCATGAAGCAGCACAAAGTGACCCTGTTTAGCACTGTTCATTTTTCTCTAGGCTTGTGAGGTTTGGAGATTGGTTCAGATAAGCATCCTCAAGCTTGCAGGCTTATCTGCACCATCTCCCAAACGGCTTTGATCTGCAGGATTTGGCTGCAGCCCTCAAAGTTATCTTGAGAAAGCTTGTTCTGGGGAAGAGTTGTTCTTCTGATTAACAAGAAAAAGCTTTCTTAGTGGCTTTGAGCATTTTCAGCCCTGGCTGGAATCAGGGAGTGTAGCAATGGCTGCACACAGAGAGAAGGAAAAAGTCAAGTGAGCTTCTCCTTCCAGCTTCACTTGGCCTCAACTGCCATTTTAGCTACAATTTGAGGTCAGTTATTTCATCATCCTTCTGTTTCCCCCCCCTCTCTGTTCAATGCTGTCTCACCCAACCCACTGCGTGGGTCCTTCTGCAGATACAGGTTCACATCTTTACACCATCCAAGTCCTCTGCAGAGCAGCCAGGAGGAAAGCTGGCTTGACCCACCAGGAGTGCCAAGCACCAAGGGGCTGGGAGAGCTACACAGGGAGAGGGACTTGGTCAGTCTAGGGCAAGTTTTAAGAGAGAAAATACTGAATTAAATAGCTGAAAGAAACAGCCCCTCTCAAAATCCCCAGTGAAGGAAACAGAAGCCACGTTAACTTGGTGAACTTGGTGTTGAGTGAGTCCAGTGTTAATTTTCCAGTTTACCTTGTGCTTGGTAAGATTTGTTGGGCTGCAAAGTCTCAGAATTCAGTGTGGATTGCCCCACTCTCAGCCCATCATCAGCCCATGCAAGATTTCCTCCTTCTGGGAACAAGAAGGGAGGAGGAAGGAAAAGGAGAAACTGCAAAATGAAGTTGACAGTGGGGAAGTGCCCCAAGTGTGTCCTGCTGCCCTCACATTAAGGATAAATACACATTAAAAAAACACTACTGGGGAAGGGGAAAGAAGGGTGAAGAGCAAAAATAGGTCCATGTCTTTTAAATAATTTTTTTTTTTAATTGTTGAGGCAGTAATACTTGGTTCATGGAACTGCAATATACAGAGAGGTGAAATAAATAGCTTATATATATATAATATATATAATATAGCTGGTTTTAAAATATTCCCTTATCATTGGTGTACTAGGTCATCTTGTAGTCACTTGAATGTAGTTAGCAGCATTCTCCAGAACTGAGCATCATGCAGGATCACAGAGCCGTGACACCTTATGTCATCAGAGAAGGGTTTACAGAAGATCCAGGCGTCGAGAGCTCCACGGGAACCTGCGGCGCTCGCGGCCGGGGCAACCACCAGATCCCTGCAAACCCGGCACTTCCCGGGGGCTCGGGAGCTTTGGGAAAGAACTTTGGGGTGGGTTTTTGTTTTGTTTTGTTTTTTTCTTTGGTTTCTTTTTTTTTTTTTTTTCCTTTTTTTCTTTTTTTTAAACATTTTTCGTCGTTCTTTTTCTCGTCTTTCCTCTGGGGATGATGCTGGAAAAGTTGTCCTTTCCAAAATAAACATCAACACAAAAAAAAAGCACCTGTTGTGTCGTCAACAAACAAGGAGTCAATTTAAATAGAGCAGTTCATTTTGTTTTGTTTTTTTTCAAGTCACAATAAATCCCTAACAGCTTTTCCCCAGCGTTTTGCCCATCTGAGTCTTTCATTAGTTTTGTTGGTTTCGTTGTTTGTTTTTTTTTTTTTTTAATTTTTATTTTTATTTTAAACACAATGTACAAAAATAGAGCTTCTTCCTTATTTTTAAATGTAAAAATATTCCTCTGGTGCAGTTTTTGTTTAGGTTTTTTTTTTTGTTTTGTTCGTTTTGTGGTTTTTTTGGGTTTTTTTTTTTTCGTTTTGTTTCTTTCATTGTTGTGGTTTCTTATTGTGACACTGGTTTTGTCTATTTTTAACTGGGGTTGGTGGGTCGTATTCTCTTAGTCCTCTTGGTGACTGTTGTGTACTTGAAAGGTTTCTGTATCTCCACTTGCCCCTTTGGGTACCTCTTCATAAAATGTACATCTTGCTGGTTTTCCCGGGTCTTGGGCCCTTTCCTTGGCCTCCCTTTTTTGGTGAATCCAACATACCAGCCTGAATATTTTGCTGACATCAGTGCTGTGTAGTTGTTTTCTAGGACTTTTTCAATGAAGACACACTCCTTGCTGGTGCCATCGGGCTGAAAGAGGAGAAAAAAAAACAAAAACAAACAGGGAAAAAAAAGAAAATGAAAAAAAATTCATTATCCCAATGCAAGTTCAGTGACCAAAACCCAAATTGGCAGAAATAAAGTCATCACATCTGGACCTTGTTTTTGGTTCAAACGTTGTTAATTGGAGCTGTAACAAACATCAGTTGAAATAGAAATGAATTTTGGAAGAGCACAAAAGCATGAGGTCATCATTTCACTTTTTTTGAAACACTCCTATCCAAAGAGAACAGGGTTTTTTTCAAGACAATTAAGTTCACCCAGTTCTGCTCCTTCAATTAGAGGCAAGGCAGGACATTTAGCTTTGATTTTTCCATGAGGAAAGGAGGGTTGAACTGAACTCCTGTCAGGGAAACACCAGCAAAAATACAAAAAACAGAATCTCATATGGGCCAAACAGCGTCGCCACTTCCATAGCTCATTTCTGATCTGTTTCCCAAAATACCTTCTAGGTTTGCACCCATAACTACCCAAATCCCACTCAAATCATTACAAGCCTTAGCCCAAGCCTTCCAGTGCTTTGGAAACCCTCCCCACAGCATCCTGGGTGTAACACCAGCCACCAAAACATGCTTGGAGCTCAGGAGATGAGCTGGAAGTGCAGCAGGTGTTGAGGGGCTGAACCCACTCCAGCCCTTGGTCTTTCAGAACCACACTGAACACCCCAGACTTGGTTCCAACCCCCTTCCTTGAGCACCAGCAGCAGTGGAAAGGGCTGTTCTCATGCCAGAGTGGCTCCCTGGATGGGCTGGTGTCCAGTAGTGGGACAGCAGTGTCCTCAGCCACAAGAGCCACCCCAGCTCCACTGCCACAGGGGACACACACCCTGCCTGGTTTTACACCTCTGCTCTCTCAGGGTTGTTTTATGTTTGGAAGAGGGTTTTGTCTCTGATGGCAGAGAGGACATGTTCCTTCCCCTTTCTCCACCTTCCATTCTCAGCAGACACCCAGAGCTCAAGTACCTGGCTTAGGAAACCATGTCCCTAAACAACACTCTTCCTGGCAGAGGGAGCCAGGATTAGAGGCAGAGCTGGAGGTCAGAAGCTCCTGAGCATGAGTGCTGCTCCCCAGCCACCCTGCACCACCAGTCCTGCTGGGACTCCATTCCCAATGCCCAGCACAAACCCACCTCTCCCCATCACTGCTGCCAGGCCCCCACCCAGCTCTGGGGCCACATTTAGGCAAACAGGGTGCACTGGTTTTGTGTGGCCAAGTTTTGGCAGCAGGGGGGACTATGGGGGTGGCTTCTGTGAGAAGCTGCCAGAAGCTTCCCCTGTGTCTGACAGAGCCAATGCCAGCTGGCTCCAAGATGGATCCACCACTGGGCAAGGCCAAGCCCACCAGGGATGGTGGTAGCACCTCTGGGATCACATATTCAAGAAGCAGCCGGGAGAAAGGAGTGACAATAGGTGAGAAAAACAAGCCTGCAGACCCCAAGGTCAGTGAAGAAGGAGCACGAGGAGGTGCTCCAGGCACCAGAGTAGAGATTCCCCTGCAGCCACTGGGGAAGACCACGATGAGCCAGGCTGTCCCCTGCCCTCTGTGGAGGTTCACAGTGGGGCAGATATCCCCCTGTAGCCCATGGAGAACCCCACACCAGGGCAGGTGTGGGGTTCTCCATGCCCAAAGGAGGCTTTTTACCCTAAAATCATGAATGTACCACCCTCCCTAAGGGGTTTTGTTACCACGGGCAAGTCCCATTGAGAGATCATGGCAACTTCTGCATCCAACATGCTAAACATGTTCCCTGTATGTGCCCCCTATTCAGGGCCAGAGCCAGCTGTGCCACAGGACCAGCATTCTCCATACTGGGCTAGGCACAAAGGTCCTGGTTTTATCCCCTGCAGTTGGACGCTCACAAACACTCTAATGAAGGGCAGAACTGGGCAAAGCTCAGTGGTTCCAGCTCCTGGGGGAGTCATTCTCCAAGCCCTGGGTTTGATCAAAGCCACATGAGCAGGGGAAGGGGGGGGAAAATCAGTCGACACCACAGGGTTCCACCAGGTTTCAATGGGAAGCCATAAAACCAGCCCCAGGTTGCTCAGGGCTCAGCCCACTACAAACCCTTCCCCAATGAATGGAGCATTTTTGAACAATACCATGGCTGAGTTTCAAATCCACCCAAACCCAGGTGCTGATGAGCCGACCGGATCCGTCCCGCAGGGGGAGCAGGTAATTGGAAGGGCTGTTTCCCCCACGCTCGTGGAAAAGTCCTGGATCTGAGCCCTGACCTTGTTGCTAGGAGAATTAAGGCGTTTTCATGCAATTTGGGAGGTTTCCGCTCTCACTGCAATGTCAGTTTCTCATGGAAAATGAAGACTGGAATGAAAAGAAAAGGAGTGTGTAGGAGGGGGAAGTTATTCTATTAATAACAAAAAAGTATTTACTTCTACCTCCAGATTTGCCGACAGAGTCTAAGTCAGAGACAGGAGGTGTAGGAATAACAAGGTGCAACTTCAGGCCAGCCTCAGGGCTAATTTGGAGTAAACAAGGTGCATGAGATAAAGTAACTCCATTCTGGAAGAGGAAGAGCTAAATCATTTGATAACACGAAATTACAGTAACATTTACAAGTACCTCGAGATGAATCAGGATAAGGAGCTCACTTCCCCAAACACAGCATTCCTGTGTGTGCTGAGACACGTCAGAGACAGACAAATGATTTTCAATGATTTTGAGCACTGGGACAGGCTGCCCAGAGAGGTTGTGGAGTCTCCTTCTCTGGAGACATTCAAAACCCACCTGGACACGTTCCTGCGTGATGTGCTCTGGGTGACCCTGCTCTGGAGGGCTGGACTAGATGGTCTTTTGAGGTCCCTTCCAACCCCTAAGATTCCATGAAATTCTTTCAAGAAGATTTTACAGCATCTATTATAATCCCCAATAGAATAAATCACTCACACCTTACCTAACAGACAGCTGGACCTATGGAAACCTATGAGGGGAAAAAGCAATTTATGAGGGTTTTCAATAATTTTTCAAGTGTGATCTGGTTTTCACCACGTGCCCATCACTTCAGGTCTAATTGTGTCCCTAACTGGGTCTATCCCCCATCCCCTCGCTCCCCCAAAGAGAAAAGGGAGGTGGCTTTGGCTGAGCATCACTTCCTGCTGCTGAGCCACATCCAGCCACCCCGGGCTGTCAGCACACACCTTGCAGAGCCCTCACGCTTCAGAACGTGGAGATGTGTCTCTGGAAAGGATCCCTTCAAACAAAGAGGAGTTCTTGCAAGCCCCAGAGCTGTGCAGGACCTGCCCGATGTGGCAGCACCGACACGTGATGGGGGAGCACCCACACCCAGCCCCAGTGCCCCTTGTGCCTGGGATGAGCTACCCCACGTGGCTGATTTTGAGCCCAGGTGCTGCTGCTTGGCCCTGTGACAAGGACATGCCACTACAAACGTGACAACGTGCAGCTCAGTTCTTCACATAGAAATAATTCAGAGCGTTTTCTTGTTTCAACACATCCCTAACAGCTGTGGGAAGATGCAAGTAGCTCTTCGCCAGATTTCTGATTCTGACAGAATCACAGACTGGTTTGGGTTGGAAGGGACTTTCAAGATCATCTAGTTCCAACCCCCTGCATGGGCAGGGACACCTCCCACTAGACCAGGTTCCTCCAAGCCCCATCCAACCTGACCTTGAACACCTCCAGGGATGAGGCTTCCACAATTACGCTGGGCAAGATACTCCAGTGTCTCAGCACCCTCACAGGAAATAATGTCTATAAAGAATATCTAGTTTCTTATAAAATGACTGATCTAAGCACCACCTTCCACAGAAACCCCTCAGGCATCAGCCAGGTCTGCAGAGAGGCAAAGGAAAGCCCAGCCATGCCAGTGAAGCCCAGGCAGCCTGAAGCACCAGCTCCAGGAGCATCTCCAGCAGGGAACAGCTGAGGACCAGCCCTGGTGGTGGTCCTCAGTGGTCCTAGCCCCTTCACCAAGCAGGTTAGAGTGGCAGCAGCTGCCCAAGGCTCCCAGTCCAGAAGGGACCATCTCCAGCTTGGGACTGCTCACTCCCCTGGGGTGATGCCCTCGGCCAGGGCTGCAGCAACACATTCCCAGTGCCCTGAGCTCCCAGAGGGGCAGTGCTGGATTGTTTGCACAGAGCATTTGGCACACGGGCTCTCCAGTCTTAAACGTGAAACGCATTGAACTGACACTAGAGCAGAATGAAGTGCCAAAGCATTTGCTGCTTCTACAATTACACCGCCCAGCGCTTTGGTGCTCCCGCTTCTCCTTTTTATGGCCCAACTTGGTCTTATTGTAGTTTGGCTTTCTCGTTTTAAGTTCTCCAAATGGAAAGGATCAAAGGGCTCTTTGTTGTCGTAGCAGGAGCACTCCTGGGAGGGAGGCACTGCTGCCACGAACAGCTTGCTGCTCGGGGGGAACTCTGTGCCACCAGCCGGAGCCAAAGCGGTGGCAGGTGCAGCCGCCGCCCCCGCCCTGTCCCCGCTGCCTGCCACGTTCAGCCACCTGAGCAGCTTTTGATGGCTTTCCCATCCAAACCAGGCAGGTTTTCTCATTTGTGCTGCACAAATCTGGCTCAGTGGGCACCGGCAAATCCTTCCCTCGGGTTTTAGGCAACAATGAGCTGGCCCGAGAGGCTCGGGTAACAGCGCGGCGTGGGGAGAGGTTCCCAAAGGGCTGAAAGGTTTCTCTGTTTGCAAAGATGGGGCACAAATTAAGCCCTACAAGTGATGCTGTGTTAAGCTTTGGTAGCTGAGCTTATGTTAAAACACTTCCCCCCTCCTCAAGTGCAATCAGAAGCTCTCTAGGTAAGGAGGCTGAATGCACTGGTGATGATGCAAATACCAGCACTGACCCACGGGAAACACCTCTGTGGGGATCCGGGAACGCCAGCGTGGCACAGGGAGCAGCCAGACTCAGCCCTTCAAGTGAGACAGGGGGTCCAAACATCACCTCTCTGCAAGTTCATCCCCCCAGGCTCCAAGTCAAATTGTGGAGA